ATATATATATATTAATTTAATAACAATAAAGAAAACGTGAAACACGTGATCTAGTTTGTATCACGGATCATTGATCCTTTCTTCAACCAATAATGCATCACCGAACATTGAATCGGGCCGATTATTAGCCGATTTACAGTACATTTTTCTTTTAATCCTTGTTTAATTTTATTTAAATACGTGTGCTTTTATCCCATTTTTAAACGCTCCTTACCTTTATTTAATTAGAAGCTAATATTTTCCAGGGCTTATTGTTCATCATCACCAAATTGACACAGTTTCATCGATTTTTTGTTCAATTAATTCATTCGTAATAAGTACCCACGACAAGACCCATCGCGGCGAATTCCGGAGTCTCGATTACATGGGTTGAATAAGTATCTCTCTGGACGTCCCATAATTTGCCAAAACCGATATGCACGTCTTGCCCTAATTTCTGAACGATCGACATGACAATTATAACTTTGTATCTGGAAACAAGAAATGAACTGTAAGAATTGCTCGGATAAGAAACGGATTATTCGTAACACATTTGCGTAATGATGTAATGATTAAACATTTTTATATATTTATTTATTTAGGAAATATATAGTAATCAAAGTATAATTACTAATTTCGCTTTCTAAACTTGATAAATTAATTCGAATTAATTCAATTTTATTTGAATGTTTTTGAATTATATATATCTCTGATTGAACTTATACATCAAAGAAGAGAAGAAAGAAATTTGTAGATATTTAAGATGCATATTGATTAAGTGTAATTATCGTATCTGTTTAATTGATTGATAGATTACCGATCGTAATACTTTCTGCAAATTCTGTCCCGCACTTCTGTTGACATTTTCTGACAGATTCGCATACAAGTCTGAGGTTGATATTTCAAACCAGTTAAATAATTCCGCATCACATCCATCAGTATTAGATCAACGGTTTCGTACTTGAAAGTTTTGTAAGGCTCGAGGCGGTAAGTATTTTGATATCTTGGAATCTGACAAACATTTTTACAATTTTTATAATTTTTGATATTTAGTATATCGCGTATGTATATATAATAACATGTAATGTCACAGCAATTAATGCAGTCTACGTTCATTTAAAAAAAAATTGTGACTAATGTATCTTTCTTGCAATTTTATTACTCTTATAATTATTATTATCGTTTAGATAATTATACAGATTTTCACAAATTGCTACATAAAATTTATTTTGACGAATTTTATTTGATTTTAATTTGTAATACCTTGAAACCACCTTTGCCTATACGAAAGGATAAGCTACCCTTTTGTAACATCATAAGGGACATGGTACTAAGATAGGCTTTTGATTGAAGAGCTTTACCGACTATAGACCACCCTTTCATCATTGTGGGTCGTTGCACTGGCAATTAAAAATATTTTTAAGTTTTACTTATTGTTATCAATTATTATATTGGTGTTATTTCTGTTAATTGATTACTACATATTATTATATTTATTACATTTTGTTTGTTTATCAAGAGAACTTTTTTCATCCATTTTTTCAGTCACTTTTTATTAATCAAGACTTACTTATGCTTATATTTTTTTCAGGATATTGCTCTTGTGTCTCTCGCATATTAAAAATCGAAAAAATTATTTTAAAAATTGTTTATATTATATACCGAGTAGAAATGAGAGTTTAAAAAAAATTCTATTTAAACTTTTGTCCCCTTGAAGTTAGCATTTATTTTATCGCTATCACAGTTCTCTATAATTCTTTTACTATTATGAACAGTTTTTTTTTGTTCTGAGGTTGATATTTCAAACCAGTTAAATAATTCCGCATCACATCCATCAGTATTAGATCAACGGTTTCGTACTTGAAAGTTTTGTAAGGCTCGAGGCGGTAAGTATTTTGATATCTTGGAATCTGACAAACATTTTTACAATTTTTATAATTTTTGATATTTAGTATATCGCGTATGTATATATAATAACATGTAATGTCACAGCAATTAATGCAGTCTACGTTCATTTAAAAAAAAATTGTGACTAATGTATCTTTCTTGCAATTTTATTACTCTTATAATTATTATTATCGTTTAGATAATTATACAGATTTTCACAAATTGCTACATAAAATTTATTTTGACGAATTTTATTTGATTTTAATTTGTAATACCTTGAAACCACCTTTGCCTATACGAAAGGATAAGCTACCCTTTTGTAACATCATAAGGGACATGGTACTAAGATAGGCTTTTGATTGAAGAGCTTTACCGACTATAGACCACCCTTTCATCATTGTGGGTCGTTGCACTGGCAATTAAAAATATTTTTAAGTTTTACTTATTGTTATCAATTATTATATTGGTGTTATTTCTGTTAATTGATTACTACATATTATTATATTTATTACATTTTGTTTGTTTATCAAGAGAACTTTTTTCATCCATTTTTTCAGTCACTTTTTATTAATCAAGACTTACTTATGCTTATATTTTTTTCAGGATATTGCTCTTGTGTCTCTCGCATATTAAAAATCGAAAAAATTATTTTAAAAATTGTTTATATTATATACCGAGTAGAAATGAGAGTTTAAAAAAAATTCTATTTAAACTTTTGTCCCCTTGAAGTTAGCATTTATTTTATCGCTATCACAGTTCTCTATAATTCTTTTACTATTATGAACAGTTTTTTTTTGTTTTTTTTTTTTTAATAAATTTATATTTTTACATTTGAATATTTTCATGTATGTACAAAATCTAGTAATTTTTAGTTCGTACTAGGGCAGGGTACCGTACCTGATCGCATTCAGTGTTAGCGTTCTTGATTGGCTACGCCATGTGTAAGGATTTTGAGCCTCCAATCATGTTCGACCTGAGATGTCACGAGCATCTAGAAACAAAAATGGAAGTCGATAATCTTGTATTCTTATGTTATATGGTCTGATGACAGGTTCGCAGTTCGCACACACAGCTTGACAGTGTATTTGTTGACTTGTCAGAGTTAGAGACCGTCTATTTCTCCTTCTGATCACGTGACTGATTTTATCCGAGGGCAAGCGGCGCTGAAACTGACTACTGGCTCTCACGTTTCCACGATAAAACTTGGATACTCTGCAATAAGGATGAGCGACGATGATCGAGACATTGACATCGAGAGCGATGTGAGTAGGATGAGATTTTTGTGCGAGAAATTTTTCTAACCAAACTTGTGTATTTTTTTTCTCAGGATGGCGAGGATTCGGACTCCAGGCTGCGGCATTCCAACAACACGCAATATTTTTCTCAGGTGAACGTCACGATCGATCTGCCTCTTCCAACGTAATTCAGTCTTGTTAATTCCGCATGCGAAGATTTTTATCATGCGATCTTTTTACATTCGATATTTTCGCACTATTATGATTAGCGTACCTAATGAAATTAATGCTGTAGATATAACAAGTTATTTTCATAAAGTAATATTCTGATATTACGCTACTGATAAGAACGCAATGCTCCCTCTGTGTTCTTTCATATAGATGGCTTTCATGAGCCATGTGTTTAGCTCAAACTCTGTTAGATTTCTTACAGTTCGTTTCCTTTAGCCTAAGAAATGAAAGAGCAAGTGGTTGTTTATGGTTTTGTATTCTATATAACATTAGGCAGAGAAAAGAGCACATCACAACGCTTTGGAGCGCAAGCGACGGGACCATATCAAAGATAGCTTCTCCAGTCTTAGGGACTCGGTACCATTTCTACAAGGGGAGAAAGTTGCGAGCAGGGCGCAAATCCTGAAGAAAGCTGCAGATTATATTCAATTTATGCGGCGAAAGAATGCTACTAATCAGCAAGCCATAGATGATCTCAAGAGACAGAATAGTATTCTGGAATCTCAAAGTAGGTGTCTTTTTATATAGTTGTGCATAAATAAAGAATGGCAATTTGTTCTTGATCAATCATGGGCGATAGAGATATTGAAATATTGGTACAAGTTTTCAAATTAGATAAAGAGGAAATTTGCCAAAAACTATAAATCTATTTACAAAGACACTCATTCATTCATTGAAGTTAATGTAGTTTTAGTTCCTTTTAGAAAGAGAGAGATCCCTTGTTCACAAAAAAGCTTTTTGTTTTTCTCAATTATTTACATATCAAAAACTCGATATTTACCTCTTTTAATAAATAGTATTTCAGAGCCACTAAAGGATCATAACATCCTGTAGAAAAAAATTGTGCTTCAACTTCATTTATTCTATTTTTGCATATTTTATAAATATTATTCTTGATACTTTAAGCGATTATTTTTCAAGATAAGTCATTGAAGAAAGCTGTACTTTTCAACAAAAAGTATCTATCCAAAATATACATTCTCTATTATGAAATAGCGTTATTGTTATAGTGATCACAGAAAAAGTGAGAATGGAGTTTTATTCCTTTACTGAATGGTTTACTTTTACAGTTCGTTCGTTAGAAAAGGCCAAAATTACCGGCAATTTTGCTGCCGAGACTTGCGAGGTGACCAAGTCTGAATCAGTGGGTGGCTATAATGACACCGAGTCGGAGTCCTCCGACAGTGAGACTGGCCGTGCAATTCGGCAACCAAAGAAGCTGAAGGTCACTGGCCTTCACCATTGACGATGATACACCTGTACTTTCCCCTCTCTTGATATGTTATTTTTGTATGCTGATCATCTCTCTCTCTCTCTCTCTCTCGTTGGTTGATAAACACTTCATTGTATATTAACTGTATTGTGCGCGTAGGTAGATATATAAGAGATTTAGATTATATCCTGTTATATACGTGATATAGGCGACTGCGAAGAACACGACCAGATGTCGACATGTCCAACAAAGACTTATAATCAATCGCATAAGTTGTAGGTACGACAATTCTACATTAATTAGTCTGAAGAATGTGTATGCAGGTTCTATTTGATTTTCCACTTTCTATTTTTACTGCGCGAGATACGATGATAAATCAAGATTATGGTATCTGCAATATGTTTGTGTTTACAATTTAATGTATATACAAATATTTATTAAGCAACAATATTATATATCAATAAATATTAATACAAATAAGCCTGTCGATAGTATAGTATATATAATCGATCGCATTTTTTATTGCTGCAATCGATTCTGTCTCCCCACCTAAAAAATCTGGTATATCTATAAATATTATCGATATCACAATCATTTTACTTGATTTATCGCTAATGATAGCCAGATGTTATGCTACAATACTATATTGTTATGCCATAATGATCTTAAAAAAATATTAACGTTTCTTTTTACTAAAATCATTTATGCTGTTTTGAATAGCAGTACTATGCTTTCTTATGATCATTGCAGTGTATTTTTCTTTCGCTCTCTCTTTATTGCTTATTCTTTTTACAACTAGCTTACATTTTTACTCAAATTTTTTTCAACCATCTAATCTCCGGAAATCGAGACTATGTTTGCCGACATTGAATTGAGCAGTTCAGGAATCTATTATATCCTAATATTTATTATTTGAAACTGCGCAGAACGATTTGTTGTGTTTATTGTATTTATTGTATTAGAATAATTAACGTGGATTATTTGAAGAACGATTTATAGAAAGCATCGATTAAATTGAAAGGATAAATTGAGCAAAAACAGACTGATATTGTAATGAATATTTTTATATTGAATTACAGTATTTTTGAATTTACTAAACTTATCAAAACTTGTGAGCGCGTGTTATTATCAGTATAGAATGCCAAAAGTAAGGTTTCGAATTACACAATTGAAGTGTCAGGATATAGTTTACAATCAGAAGAGAGGAGTGTAACCAGTATGTGTGTTCGCGCGATCGCATCTATTGCGCAAAGTCATTGTGGGAAATCTTAATGTGACGAGAGAGAGATAAAAGATTGAAGTATCATTAAATTTATTTACGTACGAGTTATTTTACAAACAGGAAATGACACGCGATCCTAGAATCCTGTTCTTCGCTTAAAGAGTTGACTAAGATGAAAAGAAGATGCGCGGTGTATTGACCGCAAGGAAATCCTAGATGCGACCAGCAAACCTGCCCTCTTCGACCTGTTCGTCCCATTTCTCTACCCAGGCGTTTGGACACATCGATTTGTAAACTCTCTTAAAATACTGGCAGGGATCATATTCCTCATTGTGCTTCTTCTTGCATCGATGGAAGTCTACGTAGCTCTGGTAACAGTATCTACAGATCATTACATTCAATTACAGATGCTATTCTGATTGGTAACTGTGAGGCAAAAATTTGTTTTCTCTGTCTATATGTACAGGTTTTTCTACATATATATTTGGCACTGTATTTCTGATGAAAATATAACTGAGGAAAATCTAAATATACAGTAAGATTCACATACAGATAATGATGAGCCATTCTAATATGATAAAAAAAAATATGGCGAGGAATATGTGAAAATATATTAATTATATTGCACTTTATTATAAAAGAGAATCAGAGTTCCTTAGATGCAAAGTAAAAAATTAATCTTGTTATATTCTTGATATACATTGATATTAATTAAAACTAGACCGTTTTTTTTTATCCTTACCTGCTCTGATTTTGATTAGGGAACCTAGGATCGAATGGTGCAGTTCGCAATGTTTCCTCGGTGATATCAAACTTCGTCATGCTTGCAGCAATATAGGGCACTGCTTAACAAGTCATAAATTATTTAATCTCTAAATCTTAGCACAGACTCTCTCGCGGATTGTATTTTGACTCCTCTCTTCCTCTTTCTATCCTCTTTTCGTCAGTAAGGGTAAATTCTATGTTTCTCTCTCGCTCTCGTCCATTCGTCTCTCAAAGCACGCGCGACACTATATCACAAATGAGTTCGCTTCTCTCGGCCACTTTTCCCTTCACCGTCATATATTTTCTGTTTCAGAAATCCTTATAGAGAAATCTCATGACGCTGAACTTGGATGAATATGAAGCTCGCGGTGAAACGAAACAAAAGATACCTCCAGAAGCGATATTTGTTCCACGATTTTCTTAAGGATAAAACTATAGCTGTCTTATAGAAGAAAGTTAATGAGCCAAGTATGTGTATAAAGAGAAGGGACGACGCGAAATGTCCAAGTTATTTAACTAACGGTCGCGTGTTATCCTCCTCCTGGCAGCAAACCTCCCGATATTTTTTCACCTCCGCCATGTACAACGACCACGCGTCCTTCGGCTGCTCCACCGTCTGTTCTGTCTTTGGTTTCGCCACCATGCCGGTCTTTAAAATCCTGCCACCTCTTCTCTTGCCCACCATCAATGGTGGAGGTACTACAGGTTTCTCCTCTAGCACAGAGGAAGTGGTAGGTTTCTGTGCTGCAGGCTGCATTTGTTCCTGCATCTTCTTGAACATCTCCATAAAACTACCGTCGTTCTTGAAGGCGTTCGGTGGCGGAACAACAGTCGCCGTTTGATGCAACACCGTCCCCCCCGCCCCCTCTCCGTGTTCCTCCAAAGCGTCCGATTCGTACGAGGGTGCCCTATTCGTGTGATGCCTGCGGCTCTCCCTGTATCTGTGTCTATCCCTGCTGCGATTACGACTGCGGCTTCGTCTTTTGTCCCTCGAGCGAGATCTGCCGCGCGACCTCGACCGCGATCTGTCTCTCCTGGAATATTTGCGCGACCTATCTCTGTCGCGATCGCGGTCCTTGTCGCTGGATCTGGATCGTCTATGGGAGCGTACCGGGGACGATCTGGAACCGCTTCGACGACGCTTACGTCGTTCCGGGAGCGGCGAGCTGTTCCGCGAGGATCTACTGCTCCGATGATGATCGATGCTTGGCGAGGGTGAACGCCGCGAGCCGACTCTGCTCTTGTGGTTGTCGTGTGTCGTGCTGTAACTTGTGCTATACATAGGAGGCGAGGGCGGAGCAGGTGGCGATTCGGTATTCGACCTGGCGCTGCGTTCGTACCGCTTTGACTCCATCACGATGCCGGGCCAAAGGACTGAAGGACGGACACCTATAAGGATAGAAACTACCTTCCATGAGTTACACGGCTCATTCCAGATCTTCACGCCTTCATCTGACTTGGGCTTTTTAAGTGTGTGCATTCGCAAGAGAGAGAGACAGGCGGACTTAGAGCGAGAGAGTATAATGTAGTCTGGTAATTCAATTCAAGTACCAACAAAGGTAATGGATAGACAGCGAGAAAGAGAGGATGCTCACTTAATTAATCAAGGGCATTGCCTGCGATCACCAAGCTGCGATTTTTATCAGACAATTTCTATCGTTACAAGAGGACACAGCATGGTGATTGCACTGTTTGGCAGTGTGTCTCGAGGCAAGAAGATACATATCTCAAAAGAGAGAGACATTGATCATAAAAAGCAGCTCTTTTCTTCGTACCTAATATCTACTCATTCGCAGCACCATAGGTGCATATCTCAAAAAATGCAAAGACAATCAAAACTAGATCTTGAATCTAGATTTGACTCTAATATTAATCAAATCCTATGTCACCAGATAATTTCAGAAATTCCTCACCCTTGAGGAAATCAACAGAAGGACGGAAGGTGAGCGGATGAAAAAAAACTCTCGTCTGGCGACTTGTGACGAGGATGATGAGGGGGGTTTCGGGAGGATCCGGGATGGGAAGAAAGGTGCAAGGTAGAAGCAAACGCGAGAGCCGTCTCTTGGATGACTTCCCTCGAGATCTACTACCGAGGATGGCGATACCCTCCCTATCTGACCCGCGCGTGCGGATACGACCGTCTCGTCGAGCGTCTCGCTGGACCGCCTAGTAGTAAGTTACTCTAATTTATCTGTATGCTTAATACCTTAATCAGTCGTGCGGTTGGAAACAAAATGGCCACTAAGAAACACCGCGCCAGACGACGATTTCGTTACGTCATGCACCTGACGAGAGATCCCTCGTCCAGCTCGATCCGCCATGAATGTGGCTGCAAACGCAGAGGCGTCGCGCATGATCGTCTGACAGATGACCGCGGATTGGTCGGACGGGAATCCGTCCGACCAATCCGCGATCTTCGACGTCGATCTCAGCGCCACTCTACGCTAGCTTGGCTAGAGATATTTTCTTTGCGTTATTTTTCTCTTCTATTTCAGTCAGTTCATGGATTAGAGGACGCTAATCTGCGAAACATCAACTTTACAATTTGCAGTTCTTCTGATGTTTTGTAAGTAAATATATGTACTTGCGCAATGTAATGCGTCACAAATATATTTCTGTTAAACTTGCTTAAGAAGATCTGTAACAGGCGACATTCGGAACAGAATTCCATTTTTTATGTACCAGAGCATATAGGAAACATTTGAACAAGATAGATATATTTATAAAATACATATCAAAATACACACACGCATATTAAGATATGGGGCGAGTAATCTATAAAATTATAGAGAATCCCCTTGTTTTGATTTTTATTCTGAATTTTGAGATCTTCAAAAACGGTCGATGATATTAGCGCTCTGAATAATCCTCGGCTTTGCTTGATAGCGATAAATCTTTTTATCGATATTTTCACAGCGATTAGTTGACAATTTTTGCAGAAGATGACAGCAAAATGTTGTTACATATTTAAAACTATTTATACATATAAATACATGTACCCCCAAATAAATATTGATATAGATATTTTCAATGAGTATGTCGTGCTAAAAATTGTGGAGCGCAAAAACATGATGACGTAATAAGTTGCTCCTCGTGTGAATTTAACGCGCGAATTTCAATATCAGTTAACGTGTTCTTAATTGATAAAATGGAAAATGTGCATAAAAATAGTAATGAAAATTTCTCAAATATATGGTTTGTATATGTTTTTAAAGTTTGTTTAAATGATTTTTTTGTAATGACACACATAAATCCATCAAAAAAAAATTAGCTAACTTAATAATTAAGTTAATTAATTATTAAGTTAGTTAATTTTTTTTTGATGGGTTTATCAATCTTTTCCCGATAATTTCATATACATCTCGATAATTTTGAACATAATTTTGAACATCTATTCGTAAAGATGATTATTTTTAATTTGTATATCAGTTCTCTCTTTCCATCAATAATATATTAATAATTATAATTGCCAATGCAGTCGCTATACGTAGTCAGGTAAAATATAATAATCTAAAATTTTTTTAATAATTAAACGATTCTTTTTAGGCTCAACGGTCACGATGTAAAAATAACGCTCCACCTATTATGTCCCGGCATTAAAATCTCCTGACGTCACATCTCTCCCCGGCATCGATATTACTTTCCGATTATGCCAGTAAACTACCTGGTTCTTCAATCATTCTTAATTGAGTATACTAAATTTGGTATGTACATTTATATATGAATTTCACATATGATAGTTAATTATTTAAAAGTAGCTCTTATCGTTAGCTCAGCTTCTTTCCAATTAATCGGCTATTATTGTTTGAAAGAAGCAGATTTTCAAAACACCTAATTATTAATTGTGTAAATATGCGATGATTCTTTCTCTTTCTCTCTCTCTCTCTCTCTCTCTCTCTCTATCTCTCTTCAGTAATTGCTCTCTCTTTAAATAATTTGTACTGCGAAAGGTTTCTCTAATTAATGAATTAGTAGATTCATACAAATTTTTTCCAAAATTGAAATGTTCCTTAGAAGAAAGATGTATCATTAAATTAATTGCGAAAAATCATGTCTCAAAATTCAATATTATATATCTTTTAAAGCACGTCGTTGCATTGGCGCGTAAAAATTCATGCTGGTATTACGGGAATCGCGGAAGTTATTCTTTTGTAACATGGAAAAAGAGAAAGAGAGAAAGAGAGAGAGATGCCAATGGAGCAATTTCATCACGGTGATGCGACGTGGCATCTCTCTCTTCTCTCTCCTTCTCGCTCCTTTTCTCTCTCTCTCTCTCTTTTATCGCGCGGTAGTCCTTGAAGTTCTCCAGACCGAAAGAGGAGGGAATCGTGCACCAAGCTCTACGCGTTGTATGCGAGTTTTGACCTTGTGGCATTTGGTACCTGTCCGTACCAGCCGACGCGCATACAACTCCACACCCAATCCCACAAGCGCGCGAGCAAAATAACTAAGTATACCATCTCCTTCCCTCATTCGAATCCGTCTCCCGTTCTGTCTCTATTCATCTTTCCCTCCCTCTCTCTCGCTCGCACCTCATTCTCTTCTTCTTTCTCACCTTTCCTCTATCCGCTCGCTCACGCAACTCGCGTGCGCACGCGTACATGACGACGCGATAATGACGAAGTTGATATCGCGCGTCGCAAAGTTGCGTCTTGACCTTTTGATTTCATTAAGGACATTGATTTTGCCCTCTTCAAGAAATTACTTGTGCCGGTTTTTCGTATAATATATATATAATATTTAATTAGAGGTCAAAAATTAGCAGTTGTTGATATGGAGAATAGGCATTTTTTATGTTTACTTTCTCTTTTTAAAAAGATTTACTCCTTTCTTCTCTTCAATGAATAATGATCTTTTATACCTTGATAGTTTTTATATTGACAGTCGAATGAATATGAGACTAACAATAAAAGAGCGAAGTCGACAATATAGATAAGACAATCCCCGATGAATAAAATATATGTATAAATATGGTAAATTTCAAATTGATATTTTAATAGAGAAAATTTCCAGGAAACTTGTTTTTTCTTTGGAATTATAAATATTTTGATTGATACACTGTGTGTGTGACAATTGCTATTGTCAGGGAACAATGCTTCGTAAATCGATACGACTCTGTCCCCCAACATTTGTCAATCAATAGCATACACAAGATGTTATAATGAAATTCATCTAAGAAAAGTATTATGTTTTCAATCACTTATAACTAACTCGAAACATACCGATTTCTCGGTATCCCTGTTAAAAAAAAATCGACTTTACATTTTTCAGAAAGTAGATGAAAATCGCTCGGTATAGGACATCCGGGACAGAGCGTGTAAACACTCGTGTATGTAGATCTTCATTTAACAATGCGATTACACGATTCTGCTGGGCCGAGGATCGCGGAGAGGACGAATTCTTTAGCAATTCGGAGAGATCTGAATATCTCGGAGAGGAGGTAGAGACGTCTCGGTCACCGCATGACATCGCGCGAGCCTGGCGTATTTACGTCGCTGGACAATGGAAAAGGTCGCGTCGCAGCGGCTGTGGCATTTGCGGCGTTCGTCGCTAATAAACGTGTTCGCGAGAAAATGCGCGACGTATATTGGGCTCTCTGACATAGAGTCGTAGATGGGCCTTTTTGCGAGGAGCGGACCGTGGAATTCCCCGCGAAGGAACATAGTTTGCGAATGTCTGTCGCGCTCATCTCGATGATATTTCGCGCACGCACACAGCTGTACGATTAATCAAACAACAATCTAACTAATCTGTGCGCGCGTTAAGGATATATTTCATGTATATATACATTTTATTTTCATCATTTCAATCATGAGCCAGGATTTCGACAATTAAAATTTTTTGAAGATAGCGACTGATGGAGCTAAAAGAATAATCCTATGATAAAGTTAAGTTTGCGAGGAATATAGAAATTTAAGAATTTGAAAATACAAATAATAATCCGAGTATCTGAAAATGTCAGAAGTCTAAGAAATAGAAGAATTCAGCGAAGTCTGACAAACGGCAAGAATTTTTGATTGATGATAAGAAATACAAAAGGCACTGCAAGCATTTGCTTATATTTACAATTTATTATCATATATTAAGTATAAATTTCTAAGCTACATTCTCTTTTATATCTTCTGCATTTGATGTAAGACAAGCGTGCGTTCAGACGAGGAAAGAGAGAAAAAAAAAAAAGAAATCCAAACGGATGTATAAACGGAACTATTGTTGTATTAATATCTGATTTTACGATGGTCAAAATCGTAAGTTTCTGGATTTCTTCATTCTTATAATGCAACGTGACGAAGTCCGGATACGCGATAAATGTCAATTAAGCCAGTTTGTCTGAAAAGACGCTTCGTCAGACAGCAAGGTTAATCATCGTAACCAACGATTTTCCTCATGTTTGCCCGACCAGATTTAAAAACTGTCATCGAATACGGAACATATCATACGGATCGTCGCGTCTTTCATCGTCGCTATGAACTCGTGATGAAGCTCCGCGAGGTGGGAGGCGGAAGAGC